ATATATATATGTATATATATATGTATATATATCAAATTATTAATGTAGATTAATGTAGATATCTTTAATATCTTTTTTTTAATGTATGTATTGAACAACATTCGTATAGGCTAAAATAGTTTCATCTGGATTCAATATAATTATATGTTCCATAGAGGAAATTTTATTAAGTAAACCAATGTACTCACTGTTATTTGTTGATGACAGTTTCGCCCAACTCCCAGTTGGGCTTTGTCAGATAGATGCGTTCCGCTTAAAGTCGTTCCAGTCGTTGTTGGGAGCAACATTAAGCGGAAAACATCTATCTGATGAAGCCCAACTAACAGTTGAGCGAAACTGTCATCAACAAATAACAGTGAGTACATTGGTTTACTTAATGAAATTTTCTCTATGGAACATTCGTATACAGTAAACAAATACATGTTAATATGAATATTTTAATATGATTAAAATGCTATCCTATCGTTAATTATAAAGTATATCTGATAGGCTAATCAATTGGATGTTTTTTCTATATTTAAACTATATTTATGTAATCAAAATCTTTGTTCTTGCTCTGTTCAGGTTCAAACTCAAGGAAGCGACGTTTCCGACTCGGATTCTGAACGTGGAAGTAGCGCTGACACGTCTAAAATTAGGAGACGGCTTCCCCCAGTCCCCAGTAACAGCATGCCGGTATCAACTACTGTACTTAAGGGTAGCCTACTATCAACCGATGGCACTACTGAACCGACGTTAGACATTGAAAAGCCACTCAATTTACAATACATACGTGAGATGCTCAGTCGAAAGGCAGCCGAGCTAGAGAAACAACGACGGCAAGTCGAAACTGTGGGAAAGAAGACAGAGGAAGACAAGAAACGCCTTGACATGACCGCAACCAGAATCACAAGACGACAGGAAAGAAGACAAAAAGGAACTGGTATGATTTTCGATGTTGATGAAATGGTTATGATGCACGACAGCGAAAGTAAAGATTCGGACGATGATGGCCGATCAAAATCAACGTCAAGCCTTCACGTCCTAAGGCCATTTACACATGGATTTGTGTTGAGCAAGTCAGAGGAAGACATCATTAGACAAATCGAGAAGCAGATATCTGAATCTACTGGGACACAGTATAGGGCTTACGAAAGGGCTGAAATTGAAAGGGAAGTGCGTCAAAAATACGGACTGTCCGACTGTAGAGGACTTACAACAAGCCCTCTGCAGCGAGAGAAGAAGAAACATGATGCTGCAAGAAGAACTCATAGTGATGGAGAATTTGAGGACACAATTTACGATTCGCATATTTCTAGAAGTAAATATCAGTCAGAAGCCGCCGTGCGCAGAACAAGCAGTTCTTCTCCACCAGTTCTTCGGCAATATAGGATGAAAGACAAAAAAAGAAAGGTAACACACACACACACTACATAGTATTACATGAATATATTTTTTTCATACTATACATAGTTCAACACTCTTCAGATGAAATTGACAATTTTATCTGAAGAGTGTTTCACCATGTATGTGTAGCACAATACTAAATAGTAATAAAATGTCTAATCAAACCTACTGTTAAACCTCTTATTTTACGCCAGAAATATCTCGTTTATGTATATATATCTGTCTCTTATACACATCTAGATGTGTATAAGAGACAGTACTAGTTCATCATCTTAAAAAACAAACAACAGAAAAACAATATAAATTATTTAGTGATATAAAGTGCAGGAAATGCTCTTTCAATTTCGAGACACCTAATTTGTAGACCATTTTCATTATCTCAGTTTTCAAGCTGCAAAACATTAAAGTTCAATTTTGGTCCAAAACACATACTGAAGCTCTAAATAAGCCATTTCACGGTTCTAACTGCGCATGCTCATATCAAGGTAAAATCGACATAAACACCATACAAAACATAGGGATTATGTCGATTTGACCTTGGATACAATGGATACAGGATAAGCGCATGCGCAGTTAGAACCGTGAAATGGCTTATAGGAATGTTTTACAGAAAATGTTGAATAATTTAAGTAATATTAACATAATTTAAGTAATAGAAATCTGACATACCAGTGTTTATGATAACATGCGTCGTATTTCTACTGAATTTATCAGTAAATTCGCATCCAGTTATAACTGCTAGGTCGTTTACATCATACTGAAAAAAAAAGATTGTTATTGCTCTTTTATCACAAAAATCATATTAATTGCAACAAAACAAATTAAAATTACTATTATTGGTATTGTTAATAACAATAACAATAATTATTATTTATTATTATTATAATTACTAGAGCCTGTAACCCAGCCTACAGACAAGTATGAAGACAGTGCTTCTGGCAAATATGAGCCATCATGATCATTCACTAAAAAACATTACAGCAAACAATGTACTTTAATAATAAATGTTTATAATATTATATAATGTGATAAAATAATAATAAATAATTATGTTTTAATACAATGATACATATAGTTAGCTATTGAATTGTTTACCAAAAAAAATAAATACAGTTAATGAAGACAAATAATACGATGATATAATGACACAGTGCATGCACAAATGCGGATAAGGGCCAACACTCCCATTGAGGTATGCACAATGGACTGACAACACAACACATTGAGAATTGGTAGGAAATCAGCATGAAAATGTACTATTTCATTCTAAGGTAACAGAACAGTGTTGGAGTCACCTTATTCAACTGGCGAGATTATCCGCAGCACGACTTTGGAAAAGATGCGGAAAATACCGAACAATTTAATGTTATTAATAATGACCATCAAAATCACAACTACCACCACCCCTGATTTATGAATGTCTTCTTGATACTTATCCATGGGGTTCTACTGTACTAATTGTTACATCAGTTATTGCACTTACCAGTTCTTTTTTGTCCAATCCAGTTCCAACAAAAGAGAGAAATGCATTACAGCTCAAAGTCTCTTGCGAAACTATAAGTTATTAGTAAAAATATATATAAGATACATAAAAAGTCAGCTTAATTTCAAATTTATTAATTGGCTCAAGAATTTGTTTAAACCATAATAAAACAATAGGTGAAGAATTTACATCATAAATTACTTCGCCAAAAATTACTAATTATATAGTATCAAACTGGAGAAACATACATTAAATGGAAACAACAACCAGTGTTTAAAACAAACATTGAGATGATATATAACCCATTTTTTGTTATTTGTTTCTCTTTATTCCTTGTCTTTTATGCATTGAAAGGTCAAATTATGCAATTGTATTGCGAATATCTGG